TCATAGAAGATAAATATATATAAACCTACTTATATACATATATATGGGTATATAGAAAATTCAAAAGAATCTGTAAGTAAACAGTTTTAATTAATAAGTCAATTTAGCAAGGTTGTTGGATATAAGTTTAGTTTGCAAAACCAACTGCATCTCCATGTAGTACCAACAGATAGTTAGAAAATGAAACTTAAAAAGTGGTATCTTCTATGCTAGCATCAAAAACATTTTAAAAAATTCTAGGAATATATCTGACCAAGATTTTAATAGCTTTACACAGAAAATGACAAAAACATGGTTGTATTAGTTTTCTGGGTCTGCCATAGCAAATTTCCAAAACCTGGGCGGCTGAAACAAGCTACGTCTGTTAAAAAACAAAATCTGTTTCTCCTACTTGCAGACTTTCTCCAACCTTGGTTCCATGAGAGCATGGATCCCTAACAGTAAATGATGTGAGTGATTCTTTTCTCAGCCTTCCCAAGGGTAGTGCACAGTTAGGACCCTTGTCGATGCAAAGGAGAGAAGTTAATTCACCATAATAGATGCCTTATGGCTTAACGCCTCGCAGGCTTCCCAGGCTGAGAAGGACAGCAAGATCAGTCTCTCCTAGAAGTGTGGGGAGAAGGGAGGAGGGGGGAAAGGCGAAGATGGATATCCCACCCGGCCCCCAGGCTCAGTGATTTATTTCCTGGTGCTAGAGATTGCCTTTTCAACATGCAAGCAGTAATTGTGCTCTAAAACGTTAACTGTGTACTTAAGAGCTTCTTTTTCCCTTCTTTCTTAGAATAGACTCTTGGAGACATTGGCCGTACTTGAATTCCCTTTTCTTCCTTCATAGCACTCCCTTCTGCCGCTGGATAATGTTTCCTGTTTGGGAATCACAGCTGAAGAAGTGTTTGAGAGACGTAGGCTTCCCAGGACTATTGTTTGAGCACGTGAGATGGAGGCTTAAACTGAGGAGATAATCACAAGGGATTTAAGTGTTTTGCAGAACAGGTATCTCTGCAGATGCTGGCGTCTGGGCATTTCTGGACTCAGACAAGGATTGTGTTTCCTTCTGCTTTACCTCACGCTTCCTTAGTCCCACTGCTTAAGGCAGTGATGGTCAGTGTCACCGAGGAGTCCAGCTGGAGACCAAATCTACCATTGCATGTCCTCTGCGTGGTCCATCCACGTGGCCCCCAAACCCTAAGAGGTTTCAATCGGAGTGTCTAACCTGGTGGTAACTGTGGTTGCACAGGACTCACACAGTGGGGTCTGGGCGCAGGTTGGCTCTTTGATGAACTTGAGCAGACCCACGTTGTAAAGGGGACCAAAACGGGGGTGGGGAGCAGAGGGTGACCCAGTGAGATATAAGACTTCCTCAGCGTGATGGTCTGCAGGTATGTGTGGAGAGAATGTCCTAAACCTTCACCACCTAAGAAAGAAGAAAAGCCATCATTCCCATGGGCTTCTAGCCCGCGTCAACATTAAAGCATCCCATCCTTGTCAGTCACTGTTATGCTGGTTGCCCTGCTCATCTGGGTCCCTGGGTGGCAGCTCCTGCACTTCAGATTTTCCCCCCCTTTTTCACTTTCCATTTTATTCTGTTTTTATTTTTTTATATGAAGATCCTAATTCACTTCTCAGAGGCTTATATATCCACAAGGACCTGAACATTAAAGATATAGTAGGGGGTTGACTGTGATTCATTTCCATGGCAATCCTTTTAATTAGATGGCCAAGATGTACGTGTGGGTCAGGGATAATGGTTTGGGGAAACAGCCATATGCTGATGTTATCTGTGCGTGAAGGAAGACAGGTGCTTGTCGCTGGCAGTTGCAGGGGGCACGAATCAAGAAAGGATTTTTTATTTTTTATTCTTATTTATTTGTTTTTTAAACTGAAGTGCAGTCAATTGCATTGTGTCAAT